AGACAAGACAAAAAGAAGATGGAACAATTTTAATAGAAATTGTAGGTTAATTGAACATACAAACAAAAAAGCAATGATATATTGTATACCAAATGGGGAAAGAACAAAAAAGAGATGATCAAGAATGAAAGAAAGTTTAAGGATGCTAAAACAAATGGAATCAGAAGAACCAAAGGAAAGAAGAACAAACAATTAAGAGGAGGAAGAAGGATCAGGAGTAGTAGTAGTAGTATTATGGGTAATAGAAGAAGAAGAGGGAGTAGGGTCGGTGAGAGACATAGAGTGAGTTTGATCGACCAAGAGGTCGAAGTCATTCCACTGGTTTTCATCATCAGCCTTTGAATCCAAAAGGTTAGGCGAAGGAGTAAGGGTGATGGCGGGAGTAGGCCCGGCGAACTCGCCCCACTCTTCCTCTTCTTCCTGCTCTTGCTTCAGTGTCTGTACTCCTCCTCCTGTCCCTCCCGTTATTGAGAGCGATTGTTGTAGATTCTGCGCCGGTGATCGTTCGGAACTCGGCTGAGCCTGCTGTGGTCGTGGGGTTCCTCGTGCACTCGCTTGGCTTGTTATTCCCACCCGATCCACTTCTCCAAGCCCCCCGAAATCATCATCAAATCCTCCTCCTTCTCCCGGGTCTCTATCATCACTTTCATCCTACACAAATTAAGAGAAATGCATACGATCAATCAGTTGTTTGATGAAAAATTACGTCTGATTATTCTTTAAGGATTGAGAGAGTGTGAGTTTTAGAGGGAAAAGAGAAAGAGAGAGAGACGAACGAGATTGGAGTGGTCCTGGAAAGATTGAGGAAAGGAACGAGTGGGCGCATCGAAGCGATCGTCGAAGCCGAATGGAGTAGGATTAGAGATAACACTCGAAGAAGACATCTGATGGAAGGCGGGAGAATTCGGATTGGAAAGGAGGGAAGACCGAAAGCTAGAGGGATCGGAATGGCGACTAGAGTCCCAACAATCGTCATCGCCGTAGTCGGTTTGTTGTTTAGGTTCTTGAAAACGATGGAGGAGGCCGGGAGGGGCCTTTCTAGTCGATTGCACACTCATCATCTCGTCCTCATCTGAGCCTTCTTCTTCTCCATCTTCATTCGATGATGACGAGGAGGAGGAAGAGGAGGAGGACGAATGGGCGTGGTTCTCGTCAGCTCCCGAGCGGACGACGGCGATCTGTTCGACAAGATAACGAGCAAATCCTTCACCTTTCTTCGTCCGACCCTGTCTCACCTTCTTACCCTTCCCGTTCCCCCCACTCGAGCCTTGACCGGTCCGCTCCTCGATCGACACTGGACTCTCTTCCTGAATAGGAGGAGTAATACTCGATGTAGAATTGCCCGTCGAGGCCGCAATCAGACTCGACTCGACCTCATCCGTCGCCGGCATCAATGGGGCCTCGATCATCCCCCCTCCGATCACCGGCATCACCCCTCCTAAGGGCAACTTGGCATGCTCCCGAGCCTCGTGAATCGGCCCATTCAGAAACGCGGTCCAGCGCTCATTCTTCTCTAATTCCTCAAGGATAGACTCGAACTCTTCTGGGTTGTTTTCGACCGCTTTCAGCACCTCATCTCCGATCAAAATCAGATGTCCCATGTTCCCCAATCGACCATTCTTTGCTTTCATTCTGTTAAGTTGACAAAGAAAACCAATTCAAATCACTCGATATTAACGCTTTTATTCCGTTACCGCATGACCTCTCTTGCATTTGGGGCTTTGCGACTTCACTTTTGATATGTGAAAGTGCGTCATCAGGACACCCCAAAAATGGGGGATTGGTACGAGGAGTTGGCTGATAATAAACCTGTGCAAGTACAGAGAAACGCACACAATTGGGGTTATATGACTTCATTTTTTAATATATGATAGTGCGTCATCAGGACCCCCCCCCAAAAAAAAAGGGCGGAGGGGTGTTGGGAGGAGGAGTTGGCTGATAATACACCTGTGCAAGTACAGAGAAACGCGCGAATTTGGGGTTATACGACTTCATTTTTGATACATGAGAGTGCGTCATCAGGACACCCCAAAAAAGGGGAGGTTGGGAGGATGAGTTGGCTGATAATAAACCTGTGCAAGTACAGAGAGACGCACAAAGACCATAAAAAGGTCACATAAAGCAACCAAAAAAGGAACAAACGGATTGACAGGGATGAAAGGCAAGCGAGAGATTTCTCAGAATCAAAAGGTAAAGGAGGGGACTAACTGATAGAGATGATTAGCGTCGACGCCATCCAACAACCTATCGACGATCCTCGTATCTTCGAAGAACGATTGGGCCAGCTTGAGACTGGCTAATCCGCTAGGCTGGTGCCTGCTGAACTTGGCATTCAAGCTTTGTTGGACAAGGTCGTAGATCACATTGTGCAAGAAGTTGTTCCAGGGGAAGGCGAAGAAGAGGTCGAAACAACTGTCCAAGACTTTATGTTTTAGGAACAGTTCTTTCATCCTCACTCCTGCTGGAATGCCTGATCCTCCTTCTGTTGGTGATGTTTCTGCTGGTGATGGCACGGATTCTTCTGGTGATGATTTTTCTGGTGAGAACTTCTCGGGTGAGGAGTTTTCTGGCGAGGATGCTACTGATGCTGATGGTTGTTCTGCTTTCTCTGATAGTTCTTCTGAGTCTGCGGTGGTCGCCATTGTCAGGTTGACTGGAACTTCCGGGGAAGAGGGATGAGAAGCGGCTGAAGCAAGTTCCTCAGAGTCGACGACAGTTGGAGGTGCGTCGGAGGAGGGTTTCGAGAGCAGTTCATCGTTTGAGGGTCCAAAGATGGCGACCAAGGCGTCAAGTCCAGAGACCAGTGCGCCGTCCTTGTTGTACCGAGGTCTGGGCTCTGAGTCGAGTCTGTTGACTAAGGCCATGTTTGAGCAATGTAGTAATTCGGCATAGAGTTCGATCAGTCGGAATCGTTCTTGGGTTAACGGGACCGACAGTCCAACGACCGTTTGTAGAGGCTTAGTGGCCGAGCGTGGAGACTTGATCAGCATCTGCAAGTCGCCCAACCGGTCCCCGATCGCATTCAACAGGCCGGTCAATGGGACCACCCGGGGGGCGCTGTCGCTTAGTGGCTTTTCATGGCCTTCTTCCGACGGCTCGTCTTCCTCCTCGACTCTTGGAGCGGGCGGATAGTCCCGAAGATAAACCATCAATTGGTGCTCGGAGTAGTCAGAATTGTTTCGGCGGATCAGGTCGATGACGACTGAGAGTGAGTTGATGAGTGAGGAGGCCAGACTTGTGTTGGTGATCACGCCATCATCCTCTGAAACCGGGGTGTCGAGTCCAAAGGAGAGTAGTTTGGAGACCACTGCTGAGCTGGATAATTCGCGCATGAGCCTAGTGGGTGATGAATTTGGGATGGTCTTCTGAGTCATCGGACGATTGTTGAATAGAGGGCCCCAGGGAACGGGGCGAGGCAAGGTCGGGACGAGCTGGTGGGGCCACCCTCGGCACCGGGCAGGGAGCCATTGGAGACTTTATTGGGCAGATTGAGTGAGAGAGAGGTGGAGATGACGTGATTGGTACAGAAGGCGATGACATCTTTGAGGAATTCGGCTACCGAACGATGCAGGTCTGGGGTTCGAGATGGATGGAGGAGACTGATGATCAGTTCGACAAAGTCGGTCGAGTCGATCAGCCAATCGATCGTGCCATCGGTAGTCTGTTCTGATTGAATGATTCTCATGAGGACGTCGACGATCGGTGAGGAATTAAAGTGGGCGAGTAGTTTGGGGATTAGGTTGGGATATGATCTGATGAAGGACATCATCTCGCTCGGTTTGGAGTTGATCAGGGTGATGTTAGCCTTAGCCCAATAGCCAATTTGGACTGATTTGGAAGCGGTTGCCGATGGAGGCTGATCGAGAACGGCGTCCCAGAAACGAGTGAGTAGGTTGAGCCGAGGGAAGTCGCTGAAGATCTGACTGGTGACACTCCAGAGATCGGATGCTAGGATTTCGGTGCAGAGGTATGGGTAGCGAATCTTGCGCCGTTCAGCCTTTGCCCGGTCCTCTGGTGTGCGTCCTTCAGAGTCGAGTGCATCCATTAGCAGGGCACCGATGGTATCATTGACGACCCTAGTCCTGAAGGAGTTAAATAGGGCACCGCCATATCCCATGACGGCTGATGGGCCTTGTGGTGATTGAGGAGAGGTCGAGGAGGCAGCAGATGATGCTGATGCAGATGCTGGTGCTGATGGATGGTTTGATGAGAGTCGGTTGAGGGATGAATTTGAGTGTTCGGCCAGTCGGTCTGCCTCCTCATCGTCGAAGATCAACCCGGAGACGTATCCCAGGATCCGACTGACGACCTCTCGGGTTCCTAAGAATTCGACGAGCTTTGGATGTTGAGCCTTGATCTCCTGGAGTAGGTCATCCTCCTCCAACAGCTTATCGAGTAGGAGTGAAGGGTTCGAGAAGGAGGGTGTCGAGCAACCCGCATTAGGATTGGCATGATGCTGGTTGGCCGTTGATGAGGATAGGATTGAGTCAATGGCCGACTGGGAGTGGAAACCAAACCTGGGGATAATCAGAATGTGAGGTTAGTACGATGACAGGCTGATGAACGTAGAGAGAGAGAGAGAGGGGGGGGGAGAGGAGACTTACTTCCAGAAGGCCATGGGGAATGGAGTGGAGTGATGAGTGTGTTGGTGTGTTGAGGATCAAAGTTGACAAGTTTTTGATGGGGGGTGATGGATGATGGATGATGGATGGATGGCGTGTTGGGATCTGCAACACTCCACAGCTCTACGTAAATCCATAGATCAGCATCATCAGCATCATTTCACAGCTTCAAACTCACTCAAATGTTCAACTTGATGGTAGAAATCTTCAATCATCAGCATCAATCTCAAGATGGTACATATCTATCCAACAAGTGAACAACTTTGTACCATCAACACAATCTCCACATAACTTCATCTTGATGAAATTAAGTAAAATGACATCTTCACAACAATCTTGTGAATCGATTTTACATATTCTACCAGATCAAGTGAACATTCTTCAGACTCAACATGTAAATACAATAAATTAATAGAGACTTAAAGAAATATATATGAGTTATCACAAAGGAAGGAGACGCTTTAAGTAAATACACGAGCTCATAAAAACTCTTTTGGTTTCTCGCCCTTCCCACAAAACTCAAACACCATTCCAGCCACCTTATACGCCAACTCTGAGGGAGACGGACAGCCATGATAATCAGAGACAAACCATTTGTTCAGTTTGAAAGAGAGGGAAGAGGCGGAATATGGACTTACCATCGGTTGCTTCTTTGGTCCCGGCTTCTGCGTAGACTCGCACGCAGTCCTCAGTCCCACTGGGTCTGACGAAGGAACGAGCGGAAGGATAATTGGCGACGATCTGGTTGATTTTGAGCTGCATCCCATCGGGCTTGACCAAGACGCGCTCGGCATCCTCAGTCACAAAGGCATGCCGATCGGAGACGATCACCTTGACGAGCCGATTAGGAAGCTCCTCGTACTTTGCATCCCATTCCGCCATCCCCCATCCACGCGCATTGAGGATCGTCTCGACCAATAACATGTCACTCATCGAATCGCCCACCGTCTGGTTGATCAAGCCCGCTAACGATAATAGCTTCGACGAGGCTGGTAGTCTCTTCAATAAGGCTTCTGAAAATACTACCGTCCCATGCCCGTTGGCTTCGAAATAAGTCCCGATATCAAACGTCTGGGCTGCATGGTGAAGATGCTTGACTCCAGTCGGCGTACAAGTGACGGCCAGACCCTAATAATACAAATCAGGAGCCGGTGTCAGAGGATGGTGACCCAAACAGAGAATGAGAGAGGGGGGGATGGACTCAAACCAGCTGGTCCTTAATGTATCTCGTCGAGTTCCCGTTAGCATAAGCAGTTTGGACGACACCGATTCGTAAGTGATCTTTGATCTCAGCTGATTCAAGCTCGACCAACTGCTTGATATAACTAGCTACTAGTGTGGCGATCTTATCACCATCCATCAACCTGAAGCTCTTTTTCTCTGAATAATAGTAGTAGACGATCCGATCGGCGTCCCCATCGAAGCTACAAGCCCTTGCCAGTGGCTCGAGGCTCACCCCGCTCGGCGCCGATTGGGTTGTCTTGACATAGTCTGCACCACAATCTTTGTTCAGCTTTTCGCTCGAATTAACATCTGTCGAGCTTAGTTTTAGTCGCAGTGGTGAATCTTTCAGGTAGGCCTGCATTGACTCGAGTTTCGGTCCTCCTACTCCATTTGCACAGTCCACCATTAAGGTGTATGGAGTCTTCGTTTCGGCCTAAGGATGCATCGAAAAAAAAAATCCTGATTAATTATGTACCATCAAAAAAAGAGAGCACTGCTCTTTTCTCTTTGGCAAATAGATAAAAATGAAAAAATGGTTACTTACATTCAAAGCAATAAAAGCATCAGACAATTTTTTGTAGTATCCTTCTTCAGTCGGAGCACCATAAACACCGCCATCATTGATACACTTGACCAAGTAATGTAATTGCGGGGTAGTCTTGAGGCCACTTTCTAAAATCTGAGCGGAAGGGTCGAGAGCCTTGACGGCATCTTTGAAAGCCTTGATCAATCGAGCGCACGAAGGTCGGGTGTCATGGCCCAAGATCAGCTTAGCGGGTTGCTTGAAATCGATGGTTTCTGAGTCGATGATCTGCGTCAAACTCGATGGAAGGTCTGCGGAGTTGGCTAGTACGGTCGCATGTGATTCCCAGGATGAGGCCAGCATTTCCCCCTGAGGGTCGACGAGTTTGATCCCATTGTCCTACCCAAATTGCCAATTTTATGAGCAGCTCTGTTCACGGAACTACTATTCTAAGAAAGCCCGCCGAGCGGTGGGAAGGGAGACTAGATAAATGTACTTACCTGTGCAGGGTTATGACTGGCAGTGACCATGACACCGATGGTTTGTCCAGCCAGCTTTTTGCTTCTGAGTACGGCTAATAATCCGACGGTGAAGAAGACGCGATCCAAGGTATCAGCACTGGTCGACAACAAATGAGGAGGCTGGTTAGAATGATTGTAAATTTAAATTGCCAAGCGGAATAAGGGGATAGTCTTGGACTGCAGTCTACTCAACTTTGCTCGGAAGCCAGCCGTGCCGAAGGTGTGTTTGATGCCTGGAGGAGATGGATAACTGGCTGCCACAGCCTCGATCTGTTTTGCGTCCATCGTTCTGAAATTCAGCTGGAAGACAGGGATATGTATTTATGTATCAGTCGAGATGCAGAGGTTATAATGGTTTCCTTCTGATGTTTTTCCGGTCGATCGGTGTTCTTCAACCTTGACTGCTTGTTGACCGTTGGACCTCGTGGGACCCTCGGCTCGTGTCTGGTGGTGGGTCAGTATGACGTCATTCAACCTCACCCCCCAAGCCGAAGAAACTCGCTTTTTTTTCAGCTTCATCCACAAACACAACCAACACAAAACAAAACAAAATTGTGTTTTTCAGATGTTTTCTTTTATGCAGCTCAATCGTAAACACACACAGGTCATCGCAACCAAAAGATTGTGAAAGCAGTACAATATTATTTGTACTTTAAAAATGGTAAACTTAAAAACAATTCTTAATTTGAAAACAAACACAGGAAAGCCTTCCAAAACAACAACAAATGTAAACCATTGGTATGATGAGAATGAGCTTGAGGCCCGGCCACTTAACGACACGAAGTTTTGAAATCATTTTGAGAATAAAAACCTTTTGAAATGCTTTTGAAACCTTTTTTTTTTTTGGAGCTCGAGGTGAGATCCTTTGATTCAACTTTGACAAAAAAGAGTTTCGAAAGGTTTTCGAAGGGCTTTATAAATTTAGGTGTGGAAATTTGGCTAAAAAATCACACCGCATGTGTTCAGCCATAAAGCACTGAATGATAGAATTCACTTTGAAAATCTGAAATTGATATAGCGTCCTTGTTCTCTGTAAGGCTAGCCGGCCGCTTCTCTCCCGCTTCATCAGTGTCAGTTTGTTGGCCATCTCAACTTTCTCTTTGTTGGGATTCAGTTTGTATACTTTCGGTTCGTTAACGGTCCGGCGGGAAAGAACCCCAACACCTCGAGAAAATAGCTTATCAAGATCATGCTGTTCAGTCCCCTTGGCGGTGACATAGTTGGCTCCACAGGGCACTTTAGGGTAATGGCCAAGTCCAACATATACGCAAACGCTTTGCCATTATAATATATGCATCGACAGAACCATGAAGATTCACCGGGTGGCTCTTCGTTTTCTTGGAAGAAGTCCGTTGGCTTACGGCTTCGAGTTGAGGGCACCCGGCCCGGCCCCAATGGCTTTACCGCGAAGCCTACCTAGCTTGGCCGGGTCTCTTAAGGCTACCCCGGTGTTCTCTTCCGGAGTAGAGTCCTGCTTTGCCATAGGACAGTCCACCTCACTTGATACGCTGCTTGTGGGCGGGCAAGGCGGTTCAACTACATATGGGTGGTTACGGTCAGTGGCTCCATGGATAATATCCACCATCATCAATTGTTTATTAAGGATGTTCTTTCCATCTTTCTTGTTCAAGAAATCCTTCCCCATCATGAGTAATCCTCCGCCATTCTCGTCCCACCACCGCAGACCCCTGCCTCCTCAGTGACCCCATCCAATTTATACTGGAAGTAATCCAGCGTCCTTCCTCCCATCTTATTCTTCATCCGTTCACCTGCGCACTCACCGCCCATTCTGGATTTCTAAGTCAACTACAAAAATAACCTATACCACCGCGAAGACATCGACATTTTTCTTGAGTGTCTTAGCTCCAACTATCTTATTAGACATTTCGTTGACTCCAATCAATCAATCAGAAGAACCCCACCTTTCGTTCTTGTCTTTTGGTCACTCCACCGTTTGGACTCGTATCTGTTTTATTCTTATTATTCAAAAGGACCCATACTTTTGTTCGTGTCTTTTGACCATTCCACTATTTAGACTCGTGTCTCACTTCTTCTAACTCTATCGCCGCAAAGAAACCTCATAGAAAACATCTTCCAAGCAAAAAATGGCAACTGTCGAACGAAACTGTAAGCCTTCTACCGATGTACATCTTTGTTTCAACAGAATACGGATCATAAGATTGACTAGCCACTTGGAACTCTCTTCAGCTTTCATCCGCATGGCTTTGAGGCATTTGATGTGTTCTGCGGGATTTGCTCAAAGCGTCTATGATGAGAGACGAGACGTGGGCTTGACCAACCTATTGGTCATACACTCGCACCTCTTACCGTTGTTTCGAGACCTGATCATTCAGCTAGTATCATCACTGGAGGTGGTTGACTTCGAAAATCAACCAATCCCCGAGCTCTCATTGTTTCCAAAGTTTGCGGCATTGCAGCATACTATGGAACAAACCGTTTCTGCTGTCGTGTCCGTTGCCCTTCGCCCCGATCAGCCCGACATCAAGAAGGATGGAAATCGCAACGATTTCAAAATATTCCGAACTTCTTGTTTACTAGAGGATCTCGAGGAGCTGCAGGATCTTAACCGGGCCCTCTTCAAGGTGCTTTGGGAACTCATTCAAGGCCCTACGACCATCGGCGACCCGGTGAACAACCAAGTTCAGAACACCGATGTAGGCTGGTGGGTCATCGACGATCCGAACGCTGACGACTTTTGGCCAACCAACCCAGACTTGGTGGCCAACCAAGACCAGCTGGGAAACCAAGAATGGTTTGGCAACCAAGACTGGGTAATTGGAAACCAAGACTGGGTAATTGGCAACCAAGACTGGCCGGTAATTGGCAACCAAGACTGGGTAATTGGCAACCAAGACCGGGCGGACAACCAAGACATGGGGGCCAACCGAGACCGGGCGGGCAACCAAGACATGGGCAACCGAGACCGGGCGGACAACCAAGACGGATTGGAAGACCTAGACCGAGAACGCGACCAAAACTGGGAGGGCAACGACAATTCAAGCTCTGAGCAAGGCCCGGAGGATGGAGATGCGCAGAAAACGGAGAGCTCTGGAAAAGAAGAAAGCTGGACGTCGAAGAAGAAACAGGAAATGATCTTGAGAGCGACTATGTCGATAAATTTTATCGATGCAACGATTCGACGTTGCAAACAATCGGACTTTGCCCTCCTTCACAAACCCTGGCAAGCCGCTATCCAGGTCATCGATCACGCACTCTCATTCTTCTACGAAAGATCGGGTAATTCATTAAGCAGAAGAGACGGTATCGCTCGACTAACTAGATCTGCCACTGCGCTCATGAAAGTCACGAGGGTTTTCTACAACAGGTTGTCGAATACCTCAACGCATCTGTTACCATTTACCTTGCCCCATGATGTGAGCACCGACGAACTTGAATGGATGCTTTGGAACACGGCGCCGTTAGCTCGCACAATCGATGATGCGTTATTCCCCATTCTATATGAAATCAATTGTGCCGAAAGGATATTTCACCGGCATTATATCCTTCAGCGGACAGTTGGAGAGATGCGCAATGAGTTCACAGCTGCTTGCGAATTCTTGAAGAAATATCTCGTTCCCTTGTCTCCAAAAGCCGGTTATCCTAGTTCAGCTCCATTTGTGTTCGATGATTATTTTCGGGATTTGAAGGATCAGTTTCATCTTGCCTGCGACAATACCATCGAACTCACTGACAAAGTAGAGGACTAGATTTCTAAGAAGAGAAGAGACATTTGTACATTATCTGTTTTCTATTCTCAAATCCATCCAAGATGTAAAATATCCGGAATTGACAGTTAGAATAATGCCTGTGTTGATGAATGTGAGATCGCGAAAGGATCGGGATAGTTCCCCAATTATGTGACCTTTGTAGGGGATATTTCTGTTGAGGGCGGAAGTGTATCTGGATTTTCAAGTTCCATAAAATCCCTGATCCCAAACCAGCTATCAGGTGATGATTGTGCGAAGCGGGCAGGATGAGGTTGGAAGGGCTTGAGGAAGTGAAAGGGTGGTGGGGACTAGTGTGGGATGATGAACAGACTTCTAGGCTGTCATGGGGAGTGTAGAAGGGTGATGAAAGGTGGTAGGGTACAGACTTAGGCCTTCATGCAGATTCGAAATATCCACCGACACCTAGTAACCGCCGCACCCCACAGCAGCAGTACTGGACGGAATTCATCTATGTAGGAAGTTCCAATCCCAAATCAGATTTTTCCAGGCTTCCAAAATGTTCCAAAATTATGTTTCCATCGTCTGCTGATCCAGATTTAACAAAGCATTCCTCAGATCTGTTACACTCACAGGAATTTTGTTTCATAATCCAGAAAAATCACTCAAGGTGACATTGAAGCTTCAGAACAGAGTTTCTGGTAGATTGTTGGGGGGTTGCTTTGCCATAATTAAGCAAAGGAGTTTATTTTGGAACAAAATGTACTGGGATTGGAGTATGTTCCGGAGATATTAGTGGGGTTCATGATTGAAATTTTTAAACTATTCAAACCAATTTGAAGGCCTTTATCAACCACATTTTCAACTTTTTATGAGGTAGATGGATTTGGGGGTTGCTGAACAATCTGCACACAACTTTTCTCAATTTTTAAAAAAAAAATTGATCAACACCTTAAAATGAGTTTGAAAATCTATCCATTCAGGGCAAGGGCATAGTGTTGGGAGCGGGAGCGCAGTCCCTTTACACCGCGCAAAGCGGTGCCCTTATGGGTCTTCTTTGCTTACAGGTTCAGTAACCCTTCAAGGGTTACCTAGGTAGTCCCGGAGACCAGGGAGTGGTCTCCCAAGACTTCCGTGTGTGGGTCAGGGGGAGAAGGTCTCTCGTCTCGAGCACCTGAGTTCTCGAGCCGGTTCTCGCCGGTCTCTCCGGCCTCTTCCGAGCCCAAGCCGCCGGGAAGGCGGGGCAATGGGTGGAGGACGCCCAGAGAGGGCCGGGAGCGTAAGACCATCTCCCAAAGCAAATAAGACACCCCCGTGGGGGGTGTGGGCAACCGCCAGACCACACTCTACTAGCTCGAGGCTAGGAGCCTAGCGGTGCCCTAGCTAACTGGCCTCACACAGTGGTGTATTCCATTTCAGTATAGGATGATCATCAGAGAGATAACAAGCAGGTGTGGGAGAGACTAAGAGTCCCAGGCCTCTTCCAATTGGTTTAGCAAGGCTAGGTTAGCTGCTAATTCGTCGGCCAAGAAGTGTCTTAAGTACAGCTTGTAGCAGTCGGAGGCCCACCTTCCCCTAGTGCAAATCTGTTCGACTGGAATCCCTAAAGCCCGCTGGAGCGAGGCACCACCTACTCTGAATGAGTGACCGGAGACACCCTCGTACCCGCAGGCCTTCCAGATTTTATCTAAGGCTCTCGTGGCCATGGGCTTCGTGATGTGGTGTCGGTTGCCGTCGGGTCCAAGGAATCCAAAGAGTGAGTTAGCCCCTCCTAGATCGTGGTAGCGTGAGGCCTCAGATAGTCTCCTGTGGACCGCGAGCACTGGACATAGCATATGAGGTAGCCTCTTGAGGCGAATCAATTGCTCTTCCCCCGGAGAGGCTGTCTTAGCTCCTCGGATGACAAGCGTTATCGATCCATCTCCGCCCTCCAGGTCTTGTCGGATGTCGGATGTCAGGAGTGAGGCTTGTGGTCGGAGGGGGCCGCAGTTGTCATTGTAGGTCAGTTCGACGAGACGTGCCATGCCCCAGAATGCTACTACACTGAGGTCGAAGAGCGCTCTCTGGAATGGGTCCCCCGTAGCTAGAATCTCTGCGAGTTTGACGAGGATGTCGATTGTGACAGCCTTCTTCCGAGGCTTCTTGGGTACCTCCACGTCGACGTAGGCCGACGACTTGAGCATCACGGAGACCTTGAGCTTAGTCTGTTCGGGGAAAATGGCATTGTGGTAAGTATGCCACATCTGTATCCCCGCCAGGTACTTCCGGAGGGTATTGGCGGCGACGTCCTGGGAGCTTGCGCTGCCTGCTGTTCTACCGGTGAGTGTCCTCTTTTTCTCCCCTTTATTTTCCTTCGCTTTTTTTTTTTTTTTTTTTTTTTTTTTTTGGACTCACCGTTTTCTACGCCTAAGGCTGCGGCTGTCTTGGTTGCTTGGGTGCCAAGGCTTTTCCCTTTTGGCTGTAGGCCTTGCTTTGCGATGGATTGGGCTGGTATTGGTTGGGTTTGTTTGTGCCCTTCCGCCGACTTTTGTGTGGTGTTGGTCTTGGAAGAGGATGTGGTCCCCGAGGGGTTTGCGGGTCTTTTAGGTCCGTGAGGTGGGTTTTCTGGTGGGATAGTGGGGGAAGATTGCGACGGAGTCTGACCAGTCGGTGGAGCGGATGTGTTAGGGTCTTGGGAGGAAGCGCCTTTAACTGCGTTACTAATGGCTTGGATAGGATTTGTCATCTTGGTTCAGGAAGGGGGAGGAGGTCGGTTGAGAGGGCCAGACAGATTCGCGGGTGATGAAGGGGAGTGTGTGTGTTAAGCGGTGAGAATCAGTGTGATCGATGAGGGAAGAATTAATGTGAGTGATGGGGGTAGTTGTGATCGGCGGTTAAGAAGGTTGTTTCGGAAAAGAAGAGGAAAAAAGAAAAATTAAAATTTTTAAAGGGTAGCGTAATCTCTGTTCCTTAGTGGGGGGAAGCAGAGGGGTACCGGGGTAGTTGGGATGTGAAAGGGGAAGGGGGAAGAGAGGGTGAGGAGGGAGAAGAGAGTAGTAGGAGAACGAGACTGTGAAGCGTCTCGCTTCAGGCGCTCCCGCTCCGGAAAGTCTAGAGCCGCGGCCCTTAGAGCATATCCACCGCGGGAGCTAAACTGGGTTGTTATCCTGTGTTTAGCAACCCAAACCCAAAAAACACCACCCACCCGGGGTGCTAAACCAGAAAAAAGTTTACCTCCGGAGGTAAAAAACCGTGTTGAGTTGCTACATGTAGCAACCCTCTAGCAACTCGATACCACCTGTGAAAGACAAAACATCCATGACAGACATGATGTTTGTCTTGTGAACTCTTCATCACAATCTCAACGAGTCAACACTTTTCACACCTTCCCCTCATTCATCTCAACAAGATCGATATCACTCACCGACATCCACTCCTGTAAAACCTGATTCAATTTTGCAATCAAGTGAAGAGCCCAAGGGGTCATGAACTTGACCAGGCTGCTCAAGGCACTCAAAGCGGCATCAGAAACGGCGGGTAGCTTGTCGCCCAAGGCCTCCAGGAGCTCGTTGAGCACCTGATGATCACTGTGGGTGATTGACTGCATGCCCCATACCCTGAGTGCAAAGCTTTGATAGCAGAGTACAGGCACCTTCTCGAGCAGATGCATTTTTCTTATCTCTGAGGCCTTTAAGGATGGCTTCGGCGAGACCTAGCCGAACGAAGGCTTGAGGACCTTCGGACTGTATACGAGTAATGTCAGTACGGTGTAAAACCAAGTGAGAGCAATAGAGTAGAGTTTTTTTTTAAATAACACACAAAAATGTACAAATGAGAAACAATGCATACAAGAATGAGAAAGAACAATACATGCGACAACAACCAAGGTTCCTGGTTTTTGTTACCTTCAAGCGTTAAAGATGATTGATTGCGCTTGGGGGAATGGATGGAATGAGGGTGGAGATTGGGGACTGAAGAGTCACAGATTCAAGTTTGAAGATTTAGCAACCACGGGTGGCCAGAAAACCCGGGCGGGTTGCTACATGTAAAATCTGAGTTGCTACTGTGGGGTTGTAGCAACCCAGTTTTACCTCCCCCGGTGGATATGCTCTTACTAGCTCGTCCGCCTTCCAACTCACTGAGCCACCTGGCGGCGTCGCGCCACGGCTTTGGAGGCGTGTAGCCCATGCCTCCCCATGGACACGCTCCTACTCCCTCTACGCTACCGTTACCGCTCCAACAAATTTCAATCATGAGCCCTACAATTAGATTTTTTATTTGAAAATGAATTCATCAAATAAAAATTTCTTAGAAGGATTATTCACAAAGAGAAGATGTCAAATCAAGTTGTTGCATATACCAATGAAAAATTTGAAACCAAACTTTGATCCGGAGTTTTTGGTATGAAATCATTGCATAAAAATTGGTACTGGCCATACTTTAAGAAGGCATTTACAGGTATTGTTACAAATTATCTGATATTTATGTAGGGTTTTGGTTCAAAATACAATGATTATCATTTCTCTTCCATAAAGAAAGCACTTGATAAAAAGGGAACACTCTTCAGTATTGTTTTTACTGTTGAAAAGATAAAATTTTATGTTGGAATGTAAAATGTAGAAAACCCTTCTCAAAAAAAGAGAGAAATGTACAAGTTCTTGCCTGTTGAAAATTACTACATTAAGTTGGAAGAATACCTTGATCAAATTGACAATCCAGATATTTTAGTATAAGGTGATCCAGGAGGCTTCAAAGCTCAAATAAAGCAAATACTGCAGCAACCAGTTCCAAAAATTTATTACAACACTGTTGAAGCTGGACATCTTTCTAAATTCTGGGGAGGGAATCATGGATAATACTATGCATATTTTGTAATTCAGTGACAAATAAATATGTGAAGTTATCATAAAATAATTGTAAATTTATCTGGATGTAGAAGCCATTCATCAATTTCAAAATATTTTAGCCAAATCATTTACAAATCAACAATCTATTTTTGATATAACATTGGAGATACCAAATTGACAAAGTTTTTCAATGAATATAGATATAAATTCCAGCCAAAAAAAATTTGAACCCCCATTCACCATCTGCATGTTGTCAGAAATTGTCCATATTTGGATGGGTCTTATGGAAAACATGCCATAAGGAATGAAGGGTTTGAGATAGAGATATCGCTCGATACCCGGTGTGGAACTACTCAGCAAGTGAGTAAAGAGCTTGGAGGGGATAAAATAGCTAATAGACTATGGAATAGTAGAATTAGTATTGGTGTGTGGGTGAGACTGCCCTCCTGTCTAGCTTGCGGGAAAGTTACACTAAGAAAAATAAGAGTGTGGCTTATTTCTAAATTTATCTTAGTGTTGATACTACTATTATTGTTGCTTAAGAATACCTGTTGAAGAGGTAGGAGTTTGTGGGGTTTTCTGAGTAATAAGGGTTTCTGAAGGGATTTCTCTGTTATATCTGTTATAAATTCTCTCTGGTTCTCTGATCTTATAAGACTCTCTGGTTTCTCTGGGCTCTGATAAAGGTACACTGATTTCTCTAAATCTTTCAAAGAGGTGAGAACGGCTAAGCAATATTTCTGAATTACTTTTCTATGGCCAAAATTTGAGGTAAGGGAAGTTCAAGGGCTCTAATAATCTCTGGATTTCTTTAATAAAGGGGTGATGAAAGCTGAGTAATATCTCTGATTACTATTCTGTAGCTAGCATGAGGAGGGAGCAAGGAAAACATGAGCCAGAAGAGCCTCTATTTATAGACAAATTGTTCTGCAGTACATGGGATTTTGGCCTGAACACAAGTTCGTCTGAGAAGGGTACTTCTAGAGTGGTTTTTACTCCTCTGAGATGGCCTAATCTGATATGAATTAGTCTCTAAGTGCCTTTCTAATACAAGAGGTTGTAAATCTACTATATGAGGCCTATTCTTAGATTAATTGCTATGAGAATGGTATTCTTAGACTAATTAGTATAAGAGTTATTTTCTAAAGCCAGTCTGTGAAGTACTTTCTGATCAATACCTTGATTTACCAATCTAAGATGGATGTAGTATCTCTTTATGTGTTTTTACAGTCTATTTGTATAATTATTATTCATAAGGATTTATGTATTTTAGGCCTGATTTGGGCTTTATCTTAGCTATGTTTTAACCCAGTAATTATTATACATTGTATTCTATATTTTACCCCTTCTTCTCTAACATCTTAAACACTATTTATGTGTAATAAAATGTTTTTAACTAGATCTATGGGTTTGATCAATCTTACCACATCCTCCCCCAACTTATTTGTCTGCCCTCAGACAAACTCTCTGAATTGAATGATAAATAATAACAAAAATTAAATTTTTATATGCAGGAGAAAACTTTGTATGATTTTAGAGTTTGCTCCATATTTGTACTAGTTTTTTTATGAGGTGTTGAATTTTTCAAAATTTTCTGAATCAAGGCGCTGATTTCGTTTTAGGCTAATTTCCTTTGTTGAGATTTAGTTGGCCGGAGTTGATAACAGGGGCTAAGAGAATCCTTGCTTCGCCGCAGTTTCTTTCAGCCTCCAAGCTTGGAATTCTGGATTTGCACAGCAAGTTTGGTCCCGGCTTGGCCGCAGTCTTTTTAGGTCCGCACGGAATTCCTCTAGCCATGATTCTCTAATTTGTTTCTAAGACACTTTACTGTACGTTCTGGACTCGAGTCTCTGGTACGTGAATTTCCTTTATTGCCGTTTATTTCTTTCCTCAAGTTTTTTTTATATATAAGAAAAGGGAAACTAATCTGATTTATAGCCTCTTTGCTCTTATATCAGATGAAACGTTGGGTGTCTAGTCTCGGGTCGATCTTGGATGCGTCTTTTGATTATCTCTAGCCCGTCTAATCGATTTTGACCACCCATTTCCCCTTGACGACGATTCCCCCATCTCCAAGTTAAAATTCTCTGGTCACGACTTTGGAATCCCATCCTTTCAGCACTTCCTCGGATGGTCCCTCGATTCTCGGCAACTAGTCCCGAATAAGGTATTATAGCTTCTTTCTTGTTTCTCTACTCTGATATCGTCTTCTTCTCCTTTTTCGTATAGTTACCATTTTCCAGCTGATACCCAAAATCTTTACTTTAAATGTCATCTCTAACGACCCGTAGGATTTCGATTGTTCTCTCCTTCCAGCATTGACTTCAGCTTATGATCCTCGATTTAGACAACTCGCTGATTCTTTCTTCTCTTTTTTTTTTTTTCTTTCCAATCGATTTCCCTTCTGATCGCATCTCCTCCTCGACTGATCTACGCTCGCCTTTGGACGACTTTTACACTTTTCTCTTCATTTCCAGTCTGATCTGTCTGTAAGCAGTCTTTGTTTCTTTTTCATTCCTTCGATTTCGAATTCCCTTCTTTTCTAATTTGAAAGCCATCTTCGCCCAAAACTAACTCGTATCTCCAAATGATGACTGTCAAATTTTCCTGCTTAGCCGATGCGTTCAAGGATTAATACGAAACCGTCCAATCTCCAACGACTTTGATCGCCCTCTGATCTCGAATGAGAATTCGTTTCGCCCCCGGCTTTTTCCAATCTCTCGACTCCCTCCGTGCCTTCGGTTTTACTTAAACATCCATTTCCAAGCCCTCTGTTCAGTCTCTAGATCACGCCGCTACCCCAACAATTCCACCAACACACTCGATCCAAACAAAATCAAGGTATGCCGCTTCTCTTTTCTAGTTCCTCCAGTCTTGTTACTAATTTACTGATTTTCAA